TTTGGCACTGGTTGAGAATGTGGGGATACAATCAGATCCATGCAAATCCATTTATCGGCTCCACAGCAGTTGCCTCTGTATTATGGTATTATGTAATTTCTTTTTTTAATAGTTCTGTGACTTCAGAAAATTTCTTGATGAGCACGTTATTTTTAAAGACTTTATCTAGTTGGCAGTTAATATCTTTGTATTGAACCTTCCATTCTAAGGTGATAATTTCCTTCTTACAGTGTGAGAGAATCTGCTGATGCCAGCCAGACCATGCACACCTTTCTTTGGGTGCACTGCTCCTGTCTATCTTACCTAGGATTTGGCTTAATGGATTCAGCCTTTGGTTTTTGAACAAATGAAATACAGTTCTAATAACTTGAATATACTTATCCAATAATGCTATAATACTTAAAGGAAAAATATGAAAATGCCAAAAACACTTTTTAAATCTGTAAGTGACAAATACTGCCTACCACATTTATTAACTTCTTGCTAGAAACACATGTTGTCACCTGTCTTGTATATCAGATAATATATTATTAAGTCTTGCATTTGTTAAAACACCATGAATCAATCCTTGACATGTTTATTCTGCGAAATCTTTATCATTATATTGGACCATTGATACTGAAAAGCATATGCTTGTTATTTGCTTATTCTTAAGCTGCTTCAAGGTATATTTTACCTCAGTGGAGGAGGCACACACCTTTAATCCCAGCACTTGGGAAGCAGAAGCAGAGGGATCTCTGTGGGTTCAAGGTCAGCCTGGTCTACAGAGCAAGTTCCAGGACAACCAGGGCTGTTACACACAGAAACCCTGTATCAGAAAGTAAAACAAAAACTATACAAGTAAAATTTAAAAAGATTTTTTTTTGTTTTTGTTTTTCGAGACAGGGTTTCTCTGTGGCTTTGGAGGCAGTCCTGGAACAAGCTCTTGTAGACCAGGCTGGTCTCGAACTCACAGAGATCCACCTGCCTCTGCCTCCTGAGTGCTGGGATTAAAGGCGTGTGCCACCAATGCCCAACTAAAAGACATTTCATTTTTAAGTAAACACTTTATCTATAGTTCTATTTTAAATTATTATGCTTTTATTTATTTGTTGGGTTGATGGTGTAAGAGTAGGTGGAGTTTTCCTGTCCTATCAGCTGCTTCCAAATTACACTGAGGCTTATATTACTTATAAATGCTCAGGCTTATTACTAACTAGCTCTTACAATATAAATTGACCGTTTCTATTAATCTGCATTCTGCCAGGTAGCTCCTGTCAACTTCTCTGACTCCCCTCTTCCTTCTCCCCTCATTCTCTGTTCAGCTTTCCCACCTAGCTTCATTCTGTTCAGCTATTGTCCAGTCAGCTGTTTATTAAACCAACCATAGTAACATATAGTCACACAGGGTCCAAAAGGATTATTCCACACCAGCAGGTTTTCAGCTTTGTTCTCAATAATGCTACACTGAGCATTCCTGTACATGTCCATTTACACACTTGCACAAACCTATGTGAGTCCAAATGTAATAGCCAGAACCTGGAAGCAACCTAGATGCCTCTCAACTGAAGAATGGATAGAGAAAAGAGGGGTACATTTACACAATGGAGTCAGCAGGGGAAAAACAATGACATCTTGAAATTCCCAGGCAAATGGATAGAATTAAAAGAAACCATCCTGAGTGAGGTAACCCAGTCACAAAAGGACAGACATGATATGAACTCACTCATGTAGGGGAAGCTGTAGGGGGGGGGTGGTCAGGGTTATGTAGGGTGACTGTGTTTTTTCTCTTGCGGTTTCTCTTTTGGGCTTGCATACAGACCGGTGCCACGCAGGCTGGCAAGGTTGCTCTGTAAGTAAGGCTTTTCCCTATTAAATACCCTTATATTTCTACCTAACTCTGTATTGGTAATTTCCCACTATACACTCATAAGTGGATATTAGACCTAGAACAAATAAATGATAACCAGCATACAATCCACAATCCCAGAAAAGTTAGGAAGCAAGGAGGACCCTAATGTTATGACGAAGTTTGAGGGGAACCATCTTGGATTCCATGTTAGGCGAGGTTGACCAAGGCAGATGGGGGAGGGGCACAGACAGATGGGGACACAAACATGCCAGGCAGACAGAGCTTAGTGAGAAGTTTTATTAGGGCAGGGGAGAGAGAAAAGAGGTAAAGTGACACAGAGACACACAGAGGGAGGACAGAAAAGAAGAGGGAGGCAGGAAAAGTCCTGTCTGCCCCAGGGGAACAGCGAGAAAGAGAGAGGGAAAGAGAGCAGAAAGAGAGAAGAAGAGTTTAAGTGGGTGGGTGTCTGTCTTTTAAAGGGATTCTTTGCTCTTGGGTGCAGACCACACAACCATGGAACCCTGGGCTGTCCAGAGCACTGCCTGAGTGCATTATGCCAGGTGACAGGGGCAGGCCCGCATAAGGCCTGAATCCTTAAACCTAAGAAAGCCATTTCATAAGCTTTTAGTAGTTTACTTTCTTTCTAAATTTAGAATATTAGTATTTAATACTACCATTATCCTAACTTGGCTAAATTCAGTTCCATGCTTGTATTTCAAGTTAGCAAATTGCAGGAGTATTATCATCTGTCTTTTGAATACAAAGCTGTCCCTCAGAATCTCGTGAAAACCTTTAGGAGGGACAGATACTTATGTGAGAATGTGAAAGACCCTGGGTTACATATTCAGCATGCTGCAATTGAGTAAACAAAGAAAAGACTGCCTTTACTTCCTAAGTGTCAAGTTCATACTGCATCTGCTGAACACCATGCTGTATAACATGGGTTGACATTCACTAATGTGTTTTGGTTCTGATGGTAGTCTACAGAATATTTAGGGCGTGTGTTATGTACTGTTACCATTTTACATCTAAAACTCTCTGAAGCTCAATGAGTGTATCACTTGTCTGCCATTACCCAGGAAAGTCCAGGCAAATTTAAGTTCAAATGATTGGAAGTTATTTTTAGAAATCTTTTATTGTGATAAGCCTAACTATGATCCTTTACAACCTACACGTTGAAAAAAAAACCACACTGTGGTTGAAGTACAATGAGCAATAACATGTTATAACTACACTATATATTTCTTCTGCTTTTTTCCTGGTGTGAACCTAATTATTGCATACAGACCGCTGCCAATTATGTAGTATTCAATTAATCAGATTTTATTGGGTTACATTCTTTAATGTAGTTTGACCTGGTTGGTTTACTATAACCTAACTGAGATACACTGTGATTGTATTTAATGCCAGGATATGTTTTAATAAGACTGAAGTCAAAATTTTAATTAAGTGAAAATGTACTTGATATTCTGTTAACTGACAAAATGAAGTCATTTATCTAATTATATTTAATGTCTTAGAACTAATTTGCCTTGAGGGACTTGGTGTGTTGGCACACATCTTTATTTAATCTGAGAATTTGGGAAGCAGAGGTAGGTGGATCTCTGTGAATTCAAAGCTAGCCTGGACTATATATTGAGACCCTCTCACTCTCAAACCCCCCCAAAAAAAAAAAAAAAAAAAAAAAGGGAGGGATAATTTGCCTTGACAAAAAAGTAAAGGTATGGATTTTAGAATTATATCTAAACTAATTAAACCGTAACCTTCATCCTTAAGCATTTTTATTACTTGATAAATAAAGCAAAATAAGCAGAATTAATCATTTTTTTAAAGTAATCAAATTCTGAACACATAGACAAGTCTACCACCACCATCTCCTGTCCCCTGTTTGCTTTTTCTTTGTTCTTTTGAGACAGGCTCTTGCTCTGTAGCCTAAACAATCCTGGAACATGCAATGCCCTTGCCTCAGTCTTCTGAGTATGGAGTTCACAGTCTTGTACCATGGTCAGCCTACCAAAATCTTTTCATGTGTGCACATGCATTCCTGCATAAAGCACACACACATATATTTGAGTGTGTGTGTGCAGGTCAACCTTGGGTGTCATTTATTAGGAGTCAACCTCCTAGACTTTTGAGATAAGATCTTTCACTGAGACCTAGGCCTTATGCTTTAGGCTAGACTTCTCTAGCTAGGGAGGGAGCTCCAGGTATCTTCCTGTTTTGCCTCTGTAGCAATGGGATTGCAAGCATGTGCCACCATACCCAGCTTTGTATGTGAGTGCAGGGCTTGTGACAGTAAGCAGTTTACTGACCATGCTGTCTTACCTTCCCCTGTAATCTCACAGTAATTCTTATTATGAAAGCTTGTGTATAATAATTATTCCAGTTTTTTTTTTTTTCATTTGGTAACAATGTTCTTCATGGCAGTACAATCACATAAATGGCAAAACACAAGGGTTTATTTGTGAAGTAGTAACTATTTCTCTTAAAACATTTGTTTCAAATGCTTTGTCATTACAGAATCATTTTTGAGGCTGTAGGTAGACCTTGAGAAATTTCTTCGACTATTCAGATAGTCATTTAAATTAAAATAGAATCTGGGTCTGTTGCACAGACATGCAATCCCAGCATGGGGGTGGAGGGAGGAAGAAGGCTTGAGAGTTTCTGGCCAGCCTGGATTGCATAGTGAGTTCTAAGAAACACTGGCCTTCATGGCAGAAAACCTTTTGTGGAAAAAAGACATTCTTTAAATTTGTTGATATTGCTTTAAACTTACACTTTTTTTTTTTTTTTTGGTTGTTTTTGGTTCTTGGTTTTCGATTCAGGGTTTCTCTGTTACCCTAGTTGTCCTGGACCTTGCTCTATAGACCAGGCTGGCCCTGAACTCAGAGAGGCCCTGCCTCTCCCTCCAGAGCACTGGGATTAAAGTTGTGTTTCATCACCACCTGGCTGAACTTATTTTTTTGTCATTTATTTATTTTACTTGAGACATTCAACTCCAGAGGTACATTATTAAATAGGAGATATTTGGGAGTTGTTATGTTTTAGAATATAGATTTTAAGAAGGAACTGTGTTCAACAGCAAATCCATAGTGGTTTTGAAAAAGTTACACATATTGTTTTGATTCTGTCATTTTATTCGATATTGACTACTGTATTTTTTTAATAGATTATCTTTCTCAAGGAATAGATCTTTCTGGAATAGAAGTAATAGAAAATGATCTACTTTTTATTGCAAGAGCACGACTTGAAGTGGAAAACCAAGCTAAGCGTCTGCTGGAACAAGGTGTGGAGACCCAGGTAATAAATGTCAAGAATCTCTTGGGATATAAATGCACATTTGACTTTGGAGTCAGAAATTAATAAGTTAAATTTTATCATGAAAGAACTGTATTACAGAATAAAGCATGTTTAAGCACAGGGAAATGTAACATATCTTTATGTATTAAATATTAAATTCTGAAATACACCCAAGGTTTCTACTATATAGCATATAAAATACATTTTTGTGTGGTATCTATCTATCTATCTATCTATCTATCTATCTATCTATCTATCTATCCACACACACACACACACACACACACACACACACACACACCTGTGAAGCATTGCAGTTTTGTTCAGGGCATCTTTTGACAGTATAGTAAGGTTAGTAACACTGTTTTTTTTTTTTTTCCATTTTATGTAGAAGATAAAACAGGTTAGAGATTTGTTAAAGGTAAATAAAATGGTTTGAATCCAAATAGTTTTATGAATTAAATTTTCTCTTAGATAACTCTGTGCAATACACAAAGTATACTGACTTACTGACTACTCTCACCTCCACATCCTCTCCACCAGTCTCTTTTTCATGCTTGTTTTTTTTTTGTTTTTTTGTTTTTTTTGTTTTTTTTTGTTTTTCTAGACAGGGTTTCTCTGTGTAGCTTTGGAGCCTATCCTGGCACTTGCTCTGGAGACCAGGCTGGCCTTGAACTCACAGAGATCCGCTTGCCTCTGCCTCCCGTGTGCTGGGATTAAAGGCTGCGTTACGACACCAACGCCCGGCTTATTTATGGCATTCTTAATGTGGTCCTGAGTTTGATTTGCAAATGCTTTTTGAGATTTTTGTTTGTTTTTTGGCGTTTGATTTTTTAAAACAGTGTTTCTCTGTGTAGCCCTGGTTGTCCTGAAACTCACTCTGTAGACCATGCAGGGCCTCGAACTCATGGAGATCTACTTGCCTCCCAAGTGCAAGGATGAAGGATGTGTGGCACCACTGCCCAGCTCTGTTCTGATTGGGGAAATCAGTCGATAATTTACTGTGTTCTTACCTGGTTTTAGATAGGATTACTAAACTCCACTGTTAATCTGTGAGGTCTTCTGGTCATCAAGGACAGGGCTGTGTGCTGCCCTTCCTGACCTAAGCTCCCTGCTGCTTTATTCTTTAGTTTCCTGGGTTATTCTACCCTCCACCCACTCCAGTTCTCCACAGTTGCTTTCTAGTGCTGTAATTTACTCTGGGACTGTGGGAGTCTCCTAGAGTAGTGGTTGTTCCCTTTTCTCAGCCCTCCCTGTAGGTCAGTTTTAAACAGTAGGTTCCCTCTCAAGATGGGGTCTAGCAACTGCCTTCCCAGTCTTAAAGTGAAAACCCTTTCAGTGTTGACCCATTTGCTGGAGGACTCACTGTCTTAGTAAAACTACAATTGGATTTGAGCCTTTGTGAGCTGTAGGCTTATCCTGAGGGCATGACTGCAAGTCTCTTCACCAGGCCTGCCTGCCTTACTTTCCTTTTTTTTTTTTTTTTTTTTTTTGGTTTTTCCAGATGGGGTTTCTCTGTGTAGCTTTGGATCCTATCCTGGCACTCGTTCTGGAGACCAGGCTGGCCTCGAACTCACAGAGATCCACCTGCCTCTGCCTCCCGATTTCTGGGACTAAAGGTGTGCACCACCAATGCCCCACCCCTGCCTTACCTTTTTGAATGAGACTTCTGCTTCCTCTCTTAGTGCCTGTGGGCAGCACAGCTACAGTTGTATCTAGTTCCTGCCTTCCTTCTGCTGCATCTCTAGTCTTTTCTTTGTACTTTGTAGGTGACCTAATGCTATCTTTGTGATTTCCTGAATCTCCTCTCATTTCTCTCTAGGCAAAGTCCACTGTTTTCTGTACTGGCTCTTCTGAACTGGTTGTACAGAGGTAGTTCTTAGCTCTGTTTGTTACTGCAAAGTCTCCATTACTCTCTCGTGTTCTTCCCTCATGTTCCCCTTTCTACTTTTATATATGTGTGATGGAAACAGTATGCCTTCTCAGTGGGAAATAGCTCTCCACACTTAGAGATCAATAAAGGAGAAGTTCTTTGCAGTAGTGGGGTTGGGGAAGTAGGTGGCTGTTGGTAGCAGATACTCAAGAAAAGGCAGGCTCAGATAGATGATTTTGACTTTATACCTTGGTTTATAGATTCCACATATGCTGTTATCCTTAAATCTCTTTAAGGTCCCAGCCCCCTGGTTATAGTTTGAACAAGTCAAACAGAGACAGAAGAGTATAAGTCTGGCCACTTGGGCAGATGGGAAATTGACACAGCAAAGATAATGCCAGAATTATTTCTCAAGTACACCAGTATGGTTCTTTTCAAAAAGTTGTTACTCAGAATCATCTTGCTTATTTGGTAGAATTATGCTTTTCCTAGGAAGACAAGTGGGACCTTTATTGCAGGCCAGGACTTAACATTGGCTATGTACCTGCACTGCCCGCCCTGAGCCGCTTGTTAGAGGCATGTTCTTTGGGGATGGGTCTAATGGCTGGTCAGTCCTCAGCCCTGATGGAGAGACACATCCTAGCATCCTAAATTTCACTTATCTCTAACAGGCCTTATTAGTAGACTGCTCCTCTTTGGGGGAGTGGGCAGTGTTCCCTGAATTCTACTTCATGTGATGTAGTGTCTCCTAAGATAATCTATTAATGGTGATAGAGTGATGCTCAGTAGTTAAGAGATGTGGCTGCTCTTCCAGAGGACCTGAGTTTGACTCTCAGCATGCACATAGTGGGTCACAACTATCTGTTATACCAGTTCTAGAGGATCTGATGCCTTATTCTGGCTTCTATTGGTATCAGGCACACATGTGGTGCACAGACATACTATGCAGACAAAGCACCCATACACATAAAGTAAAACTTAAAAAGGTAAATTTATTAGTACCAGTTCTATTACTTTTGATTTTCTTCTACACCATATGTCATATATACATACACAAACACATACATGCATATACATATCTAAATTTAAATTAGAGTCTGTATATGAGAGAAAACCTGATATTTGTTTTTTTTTTTTTTGAGTCTGACTGACTTACTGCGATCTTCAGTTTCATTTTTCTGTGAATGACATAATTTATTCTTTCATAGATGAAAAAAATTTCATTGTGTATATGCACCACATTTGCTTTATGTATTTACCTGTTAGTTGACATCTAGACTACTTCCAAATAATGTGAATTATTAGCAGCAAATGTAATAAACACTGGTGTATAAGTATCTCTGTGGGACACCAAATTAGTATCTTTCAGGTATATAACAACAATGATGTAGATGAATCAGATTGTAGTTATGTTTTTGTTTTTTTGTAGGCTTGCATGCTGATTTCCATAATGGCCATGCTATTTTACTTTGCAGTCTACAGTAAATGGATACTTTTGAAATCTTAATAGCTCAAGAAGATGGCAATTAGTCTTTCAAAAAGTGCAACATCATAAGCTTTTCTGTTTTTGTAGTTAAGTGCTTCTTGGCATTTAGTGTTTTAAAATTTTATTTCATCTGTTAATTTATTGCTCTCTCTAATCTCTTTCTGTGTCTGCCTCCCCCCCCACTCACACACACACTCACATTCACACACACTGACACTTACACACACACACTCATACACACTAACATTCACACACTCTGACATTCACACATACACTCACTCACAAACTCACACACATTCACACACACTGACACACATACCCACTCACATACTCACACATAAAACACTCACACTCACAGCACTCTCTCTCTCTCTCTCTTCTCTCTCTCTCTCTCTCTCGCACACACACACACACACACACACACGAGTGAGACAGAGACAGAAATAGAGAAGAGCGCTAGCTTTCCTATCTGTAGGTTCTACAGTTACAGATTCAAACAACTGCTGATCAAACATTGAGAAAAAAATTGAACAAGTTTCAAAAACCAGAACTTAACTTTGCCACATCTTGGCCACTAAGCTGTATCTGTGTGTCTTTGTTTGGGTTTTTATTGCTGTGAAGAGACACCATGACCTTGTCAACTCATAAAGAAAACATTTAATTGAGGGTGGTTCGATTACAGTTTCAGAGGTTCCATCCATTATCATCATGACTAGGAGCATGGCGGCATGAAGGCAGATGTGGTGTTAAAGCTGAGAGTGCTACATTTTGCAGGTAACAATGAGTCAGCTGACTGTCACACTGAGCAAAGCCTGAGAAAGGCCTTTAACTTAGCTTTGTTCCTAAGTAGTCTTATAATTTAAACTAACTCATTTATATTAATCTGTGTCCTGCCATGTGACTTTTACCCCTCTCATTCTGTGTGTCTTACTCATTCCAAATCTCCATGGATTCATTTCCTCCTTCCTTTTTTTTCTGCCCAGAAGTCCTGCCTGTACTTCCTGCCTAGCTATTGGCCATTTAGCTCTTTTTAAAACCATTCAAAAGGTGCCTTGGCAAAGACACATCTTCACCGTGTACAAAAAGATTATTTCATAACATGTGTAGTCTTTAGTTTTTGTAATTCTTAATATTTTACTATAGAAGAATTGAGAGGCAAGCTAAAAATTCTAGAATAGTAATAAATGTCAAGGTTTGTAAAATTAAAGTACTATTTTCAATAGGGATAGACAATTTTAACATTTTGTAAATGAATTTTTAGTTAAGAAATTCTATGCTTAACAGTAGTATTTTTCTAGGGTAATAAACTTTTTTTTGAATTCTCGGGGATAATTTCTATTTATTTATTTATTTATTTATTTAATTAGTTCAAATTAGGAACAAGCTTGCTTCACATGTAAATCCCTTCTCCCTCTCCCTCTCCCCCCCAACATCCCCCCTGCCCCTAGCCATCCCCCTCCACTCCCCAGGCAGGGTAAGGCCCTCAAAAGGGGCTCCCCAAAGTCTACCACATCATCCGGGGCCAGGACTAGGCCCTTCCCCCTGTGTCCAGGCCAAGAGAGCATCCTTTCACATGGTCCCTTCAAAAGGGATGGGCTCTCAAAATCCCTTCTTTTTTTTCAGACCTTACAATATATTTCC